AGTCAATGTAGCTTGAATTAAAAAAATTAAGACCACCTCCCTGCCAAGTACGTCCAGTCTTTGGAACATTTGTCTCAATTAAAAATCCATTTAGACATTCACTGCTTCTTTCTCTCCCCAGTCTCAGTGTGCTGATCTTTCCATCAACAATAAGCTCAAAATGGAAACAAGCAAACCAAAGAATTAAGCTCTAATGGGCCAGATGCGAAGTTCTTGACCTGGAAAAGTACGACCACCTCCCTGCCAAGTACGTCCAGTCTTTGGAACATTTGTCTCAATTAAAAATCCATTTAGACATTCACTGCTTCTTTCTCTCCCCAGTCTCAGTGTGCTGATCTTTCCATCAACAATAAGCTCAAAATGGAAACAAGCAAACCAAAGAATTAAGCTCTAATGGGCCAGATGCGAAGTTCTTGACCTGGAAAAGTACAAATACAGGTTTCTTACCTATCCTTCTAATAAGTATTGCTCTCAAAAACATGTTACTGTTGGGGTTTTTGTTGTTCTTTTTAAGAACTTTTTTCTTCTCTGTTCCGAGCCAATGGTACAGGAGTAACCTTTCATAAATAAATATAATAACCTGCTAATTATATTGCTGTTCTTCCTACATCCCTCTTCCTTCTCCTCCCACCTCAGCTTTCAACGTAGAAAAAACCCACAACCATCCATCTGTACAGCAAATTACTTGGCAGCTACAGATGGTGTCTTAAACTTGCCAGAGATTTGAATAACTACTGAATTGAGAACAACACCTAAAATAATGCTCTTCTGCAACTCAATTATTCTAATCAAGCAAACACTACAAACCATGTCTGTGAAACAACAAGCAATGCAAACACTGCGCAGACCATCGAGACACAAACGATTTCTAATGCTAAAAGAGCCCAGTTTGCCTCTAAGTACTTCAACTGGAACTCCCACTGGCTGCCGCCATTCTTAACTTCCAACTCATCCCCACAAAATGCAACAGCAAGCTCCAGCCTACAGCTCAGCAAGGCCACGGGGTTTTAACTACATCACTTAAGACTATTCGCAGTTCTAAATCAAAGGCAAATGGATGCTACACGTGGAGTTGGCCAGAAGAGTAACTCCCAACAGGTAAGCAAGCAGCAGCGACCCAAAACTGTGTGTTACGGTCACGGTGTTCGATAAGAAGTTCATTACTCAAACAAAGCAGCTAAGGGCTATAGAGAAATCAGACAGAAATTGTCCAAACACTGCGAGTAACACAGTTCCCCCTAACCAGTCAGAGGTGTTTCCTACTATGTGTTACGAATAAGCAAATAAAGACCCAAAGCAACTACATCCTGTCTCGCAGTTAAGGCTTTTGGTAACAACAGAGATAGATCTGTCTGTCTGCCATCGATGCCCTGCCCTGCTTTAAACCCTCAGCCATCCCGTTTTTAAAGACACCCAGACTGATTCTGTAACGAGAGAAATCTAGACACAGAGCTCTGCAGTTCCAACAGCCATCTGCCCCAACATATTCACCAGATCAAGTTTTCCATCAGTTCTACCACTCGAGGCATTTACTTACTTCTCTGACCAAGCAGAATGAGGCTAAATACGATCAGGATCCCCGACACATCCAATCTAGCATGTTCATTAACTAATAAGCCTGGAAGCTTTTGTTGTAAACAGTAACGTAAGCTTTAATTACACCATTAACAGGAGAGGAAAATTGTCTACGTCCCTTCCTTCCTGCCTTGCGTGGGAGGCAGGAGGGCGACTGTGGAACAATGGCACAACAGCTCGGACATCACGTCAGGAAACGGTCCCTGCAAAAAGCTTCCATAAAAAGGAATAGTCTTAAGGCCTCAAGGTGGCGGAAACCCAAACGCCCAAGCCCCCTGCGCCGATCGCCCGCAAACCGGGCACGCTCCTGGCCCGAGCTCTGCAGCCCCTCACTGGCTGGTACTGAGGGTCCTCCCGGCTGCCGGGCACCCCCAGGCC